TTTTTAATTATTATTTTTTTTAGATTTTATAATTTATAATAAACAGATTTTAGAATTAATTTTATATTTTAATATTTATTATTTATTATTTAAATTATTAAATATATTTAATTTAAATAAATAATTAATTTTATTATTTTATTTTTCTACTGAAAATTAAGTCTTTTAATTAAATATAAATTAAAAAATATTTTATAAAATTATCTAAAAAGATATATATACAGCTGTTATTAAAGTTTTTAGATATTAAATAAATATATATTATAATAGATTACTAAATTAGTTTTAATTAAAAAATATTTTATTTTAATTAAATACTTTTAATAAAAAATATAGATTATTATAAGATTTTACTAGATTTTTAATTAATATCTAGATTTTATATTAATAAAAATCTAGTTATAATTATTTTATTAGTTTTATATAAATATAATCTTATTTATTAATTATTAAATATAATAATTAATAATACTAATAATAATAATATAATATTTAATATAATCTTAACTAAACTTTAATTTAATTTAGTTAGAATATTTAGTTTTATAATATTCTAGTTAATTTTAATTTTTTAAAAATTATTTAAACTAGTATTATATTCTTTATCTTATTTATATAATTTATTATTTAGCTTATAATTAATATTTTTTTATAAAAACTTTAAACTAAGATCTTAAACAGTATTATTAAATATATATAAAAAAATAATAATAAAAGTTTTCAAATCTTTTTTAATATTTTAAAATTTTTAAAAAGATATATTCTAGAAGCTGTCTATAAAAAACTAATATAAAATCTTTTTTTATAAAAATTTTTTAAAAAAACTTTTATTAATTAGTTTATTATATTAATTTTTAATTATAAATTTCAAAGATTATATAATTTATAAATATAAATTCTTAATATTATAAAAAATTTTAGTTTACTTAATAATTTAAATCTAGCTTAGTTTATTATTTTTTTTAATTATAAAATTTATTAAAACTTAATCTATTTTATAATTTATTAAATATTTAATTTTTATTAAATAATTAAAAGTTTTATTAAGTATTATAAATATAATAATATTAATTATTATTATTTTATTATAATTAAATAGAAATAAATAGAATATTTTTTTAAGTTTTTATATTTTTTTTTATTTTCTATCTCTCTAAGAATAATAAATCTATTATTTACAAGATTTATAATATCTATAATAATTTTTTTAATTATCTAAATTATTTAATTAATAGATTAATAAGAAAGCAGATATTTTAAAAAAAATTCTTAAGAATTTATATAATATATATCAGAAGCTTTAAAAATATTATTATTATATTTATTAAATAAAAAATTATATTTATATAATTATAATTATTCTAGATTTAATATTAAAACTTAAAAAGTTTAAAAAAAATATATAGCTAAATAATAATATTAATTAATATTATAAATATTAAACTATTTTTAAAAAAATATTCTATTTTTATTATAGTTAGAATTTGAAGATTAATATATTATTAATAATCTCTAAATTATTATTAAATCTAGATAAGATTTTCTATAATATTTTTAAATATTAGAGACTCTTATTCACAGCTAAGATATATAAAAAACTTAAGATATATTTAAATATTAAAAATATATAGTTTCTTAAGATATCTTTAATTAAATTAATATAATTTCAGATATTATAAAATATATTAATATTTTTATTTATTAAAAATTTTATTATAATTAGTTTTCTATATTTTATTAAATAACAAGAGATTTTCTTTTAGTTATAATTAATAATATTAATATTAAATATTTTTTTAATAATTCTTAAAATATTTATTATTATTATTAAAGCTATCTTTATTCTGATATAATTAAAATAATTATATTTTAAATATATATTAATTATTTTATTATAAATAAAAAATATTAGAATATATTTAATAATCTTAATTTAGATTTAATTATCTTTATATTTAAAAAATAAGAAAAGAATAAGATAATTATTATTTTTTATATTAAAAAAAATAAGAATATAAATAATCTTAAAAATAATTTAAAAAATAGATTATTATTAAAATTAAAAAAATTAGTCTTATTTAAATCTTTAATTATTATATATACTTAGATAAAGATAAAGATCTGATTTTTATAATTTTTATATTATTATAACTATTATTCTGAATAATATAAAGATTAAAGAATAAATATTCTATATTTCTTTTTATCTTTTTTATACTAGATTCTATAAAAGTCTTTTTTAGAATATAATATATTTCTTAAGATAACTAATTAAATAGATTAAGCAGTAGACTATATTTAAAAAATATTATTATATTATAATAATAAATATATTATACTTTATATATTATCTATATAAGAAGAATATATATATTATAAATTAATCTATAATTATTAATCTATTTATTATATCTAATTTTTTTAATTAATAGATATAAATAGTTAAAATAATAATTATGTCTTAATCTAATCTTAACTATATAATTAAAAAATTTTTATATTTTAATCTGACTATTAGATTATGGCCAGGTTAAGATTAAGATATAATAGTCAGGTTAAGCCACTCTAAATTATACAGATTAAAAACCAATCTCTTGAAAAGTATATTTAGATCTAAATAAATTATAAAATATAAGTTTTAAAATTAAATTTAAAAGAATATCTAATATTTATTTATAAATTATATTTTAAATATTATTTAATACAGCTAGACTATATTTAATATATAATTAATTAATTCTAGACTGATTTTATATAATAATTTTTAATTATTAAATATTTTATAATAATATCTATATATTATATAATTTAGGAATTAATTAAATAATTATCTAGTTTAGATTATACTTATTATTTAAATAATAATTATATATTTATTTTAATTTTTATAAAATACTTTAACTATTATTATTAACCTATCCTGGCTGTTAGCCACTCTAATCTTATTATTAATTTTATTTTACTTTTATCTTCAGCTTATTTTAAACTTGTTTTCAATTTATTTTAATTTTATTTTTAATTTACTCTAATCTTATCTATATCTTGATTTTAGATATTAAAATAAAGTCTGAAAATATAAATATTTAATTTTTTTTTAAAATTTTTTTTATATTCTTTCTATCCAGCTGGCTTAGAAAAGACAATAAAAAATTATTATTTTTTAGATTAATAAGAATTTATTAATTATAAATTTACTAATTTTTAGTATTATCTTATTCTTAGATACTAAGACAAAGCCCGGAAAAATATAAATATCTAGTTTTTTTTTTATTCTTTCTATTTAGCTGGCTCAGGAAGAATAATAAAAGAAATTATTATTTTTTTGGATTAATAAGAGTTCTGGCGACGCCCTTACTACTAGTGTACAAATTACAGATTACTGTATACTGGACTGATTAGAGACCTTCTGCAACGGTCATTTACATTTATAATTAATATATTAGATTAGCGTCAATTTCTTAGTGGCCCGCTAAGGCCTAATCAGGATGAACCTCTGTGATTAATTACTTATAAGATACATGAATAAAGTACAAGCGCTAGCATTTATTATTCGAAGAATTAGGCCTAGTATGATAATTACTAAATAGTTAGTAATCAGCAACTATTAAGAATTACTGTTTTAAGAAGAATTGAAGCTATTCAGACTATCTGTACATGCTTAACAGTCTAAACAAGTATAATAGACAAGCGTGATAAGCAAGCATGATAGGCAAGCATGATAAACAAGTGTATATAAAGATTAGACAGAGGCCTTGATAAAGTAATATAGAGTACTAGTAAAGTAATTAAAACAGACTGTTTTAGAGAGCCCTAAAGGGCTTATATATATATATATATTTATCTATAAATTGAGAATATTTTCTGCCCGCTAAGGCGGTGAAGTAAATGTTTTTCAAACAACTCTATAGTTAATTACTAGGGGCGGGCCGCTATACCCGATTTTGAATTGAAAGGACAATGGTAAATGACCGTTGCAGAAGGTCTCTATTAATGCCCACCGGACCTAAGAGGGTAATTAGCGTGATAAACAGACCGCTAGTATGCACAGGTATATATACCCACCCCTATTTCCCTATTATACTACTAGTACTCCGTACTGCCTGAGGTACACTTGGTAGGAGGTACTACTCCGTACTAGTGTCTACGCTTAGGTACTGCGCGGAGTATCAAATCAGCCTAGCTGCAGGTGGGACTTGAGCGCGTCTGGAGCTAGATAAAATAACATTTCTTCCCGTATTCGGCTGCTTCTATTTTTCGCTTGAATATAGTAGATATTGTTACACATCTGGATAGAGAAAATAAACCAGATACTTGAACTTAAGCTGTTGTTTGTCAAACTTTATGTGGGCCAAGTCATTTACTCCGTTCAAACGCGCAATTAGGCGGTAATGGTACTAATACCTTACGTTCCGTTTGAAGTACGGGGTTGATGCCAAGGATGGCTAGGCTAGTACAAAGTAATAGGAACTCTGCCCCACAGCACAAATTTTTCCAGACCCGGAATCCTGCTATAAATACCGAGCATCAGTGCTTCAAGCTCTTAACTTCCTTTCCTTTCCTATTAGTTCCATACAGCATACACTCTGCTAGGTATAGGACATGACAGGGATAACATGTCGTGATGTGAGCAGCATCCCACCGCCGGATGCGGTCGGTTTGCAAGATCAAGATATCGAGCGACTACTCTTTGAGGCTGAAGACCGACTAAGGCCCAGCAATATTGGGCCTGCCAACTCTTTCAATACCTCGTGCTTAGTTGATAATGGTCTGGATATCACTTCACTGAAGTATGTCCTAACATTGTGATATAGCCCAGGCTTCTACATCCACTGAATACTAATATTTTATTACCAGTATCCCTAAACTAGCATCTGGTGGAACTTTGCAGCCTTACGTTCGCCAGCAGAGTGACTTTGCAGTTGTCGACACTGCCAGAATAGCAAATCATCCCACCCAGAACTTGCCCGCCAAGGTCGCATCAACAGGATTTAATCTCTCGAAGTCAAGCTCCAAGGTAAGATCAGCCAATTCTTCCTTATCACACCCACTTCAAATGCTATGAGGAAAACCAATCCAATCGCGTAAGCGCTTGATGCAGCTTAACATCCCGTACTGGGCTGCGCTGTGCCAATGAGAGCCCATTTTTGTTTCATAGTTACTCTGAGCATTGCGACTATTCTTATAACTTATCAAGTTAAATAAACTGAGCCCATGGCTAATTTCTTTGCAGGATAGGTCTACCGCTGGCAGCGATTGGTTCGATCTTCCGAAAACAGAATTAACACCAGGGCTTAAGCGAGATCTTCAACTTCTTCGGATGCGCTCGGTTTTGGATCCAAAGCGGCATTACAAGAAGGATGGCGGTAGAGCGCGACCTCCTCCTTATTCTCAGGTGGGAACAATAATCGAAGGCCCAACCGAGTTTTTCAGTAGCCGCATTGCTAAAAAAGATCGCAAAAAGTCTTTCGTTGAGGAGGCACTAGCGCAGGAACGAGAAAACAAGCGGTTCGAGGCCAAGTATAGGGGTATCCAAACTCACAAGCAGAGTGGGAAACATTCCTTTTACAAAAACTTACGAGCGAAAAGAAGCAGTAAAGGAAAATGAAACAAATGGTGCTCTCTTACGATAACCATAGCACCCGGCCTCCTACCAAAGCCACCGATTTCAAGGCTTGGACCTACGTTGGCCACAATGTAGTATCTGATGCTTCTGCTTACAGTCAAAGGTTCTCGCTATCCAGTGCCAATCAGATGTTGCTACCTGTTCTGTCCACGATGGCTGGGTTTGCAGTCTCACGAGCTCGGGTTGAAGATATTGGCAACCGTTTGTACAATGAGTTTCTGCATTTGGTCACTATCGGCTGGGAGAAAAAAAGAGAGAAACGAGGTCCCGAATGGTGCGTACCTGCATATTGGTTGCCGCAGAGCGGCCAGCTTCGAGAACTTCTTCGTGATTCGCCTTCCCTTCTTGCAACATGGCATCCAGCTCTGTCATACTCTTTCCTTGGAGAATATGGGCGTCTCCTCGGGGTATGGGGGCAAAAACAGCTTTGTTTGTTACTAGGCTGAGGGCCAGGACTCGAATCCCACAATGCCGGGCGACAACAATCTCCGGCACGGTCGACATGCCGACTAAATCTGCGCCAAGCTGGCGAAGCATGCGACATTCAGCTCTGGTCTCGTAGCTGAAAAGTTCAGCACTGATATTTAATCGGGGTACAAGATCTTGTCTCACCTAGGTCCCCCAACGAAGGCGTAGACACCTTCGTGGAGTTTACTTTTGTCTGTACCAATTACCCTGTTCCAGGCTTGATGGACGTGGCGACGCAACTCGAGGTCGTAAGCATCCGACAGCGGAGGGAATCGAAGCCCAAACTCTTCAGAATTCGGCCCGCGCAGTGGGTGAATCCCTGCCAGACCGGCTAGGAATATGTGCTGTGATCGATTGTCAGTCGATGCACATCTTGATTTTTTACTGTCACTGCACACACATCGTTTATCAATACAACGTCTCCTACCATATAGTCGGGGTTCAGTCCTCCAGCGGCGTTGGTTACTATGGCCCGTATAGACAAAATCATTAGCCAATCTGTGTAGATCTATACTCCCTCTTTGCCCGGGCAATGGTGTAAACTCACAGATCATGGAGTCGATCCCTAGAAGTTTGAAAACACGTACGGGGAACGTCACGTCATCAACCGAATGCCCCTCATAATAACTATCGTTGCGAAGAAGCTCTTAGCAGGCGACGCATAGTATTTGTGCCAGTATCATTGTAGACTTACTGAGCGCGACCGACCATCAAAACAGCTGGAACTTGGCCATTAAGAAGCCCAAAAACTAATTTCCCAGCATGTCCTGCCACTTATGAATGAATGAGCGCTGGACTCCATGGAAGTCGAAAGTCGATGGGGAAATACCTGTTAACTTTGGAAAGTAAGGTATAGAAGCGTAGTCAAATTCTACTCGAGGAAGTTCATGGAGTGTGCTCGCAAGACCTCCCAGACCAGATCCACAAACGATTGCAACGCGAGGAGCCTTCAGGATCTCTGGCAGTCTTTCCTTCAAGAAAGATGCGGCTTCACTTGCCCGCTGAAATGATGGTAGGTTGCTGGATGGTGCCATGATTTCAAATATATTGAATATCACATCCACGTCTTCGAGTAGATCTATATAAAAAAAAACTTGTTAAAGAGCACTCCAAGAAATCCAGGAGCAAATTTAAAGTTAGTCGGACTGCTATAACTATAGGGAGAAGTGGTTATTTCCCTACCTAGTGTTTGTTGGTGGTGCTCTTATAAGAACTACCTACCGTAAAAGTGGGAAATGGAGGGGTATTCAAGTACGGAGTACGGAGCAGTTCTTGAGGAAGGTTTGCTTCAAGCTTGTGACTTAGGTAGCGTTCCCATACATGGGACACCCAAAACTTCCAACTTAGGTTTCTTTAGTGGTAGTTTGTTCATATTGAGTACCTAAGTAGGCAAGGTTGTAGGTAGACAGACAGTACGGAGTAATCCGGAGTATACCGGTTGGTACTTGCTATGTATGTAATTTCCATAGCCCAATCTGCCCACCTTTTGTATCCCAATCCTCCCAGTCCCGTCCTAAAAGGTAGGTTACTTTCAGATATACGGAGTATCTATTAGATAAGTAGTTTATTAATACCTCGTACACGCTGTGAGACTACTGAATATACAAAGTAGCTTGATTTTACACGTGTACACTGTGCAGGAAAGCAGGCTCTAAGCAGAGAGGAAGAATCTATACTGTATACAGAGAGATCCAATTATGCATTATGTAGAGGACGAATGTGGGATAATGGTGATTTATAGGTAGGTAATATTACTAGTCTCTGTCCCTTTGGGAAGGGTTAGTGGAAGGGGGCGGCGCCGTGGTGTTGGTCGAACACGGGACTGCCTAAAACTACAACACACTAGATATATTATAACAAAATCTTATTTTATTATATCAGCTTTCTCTAAATTTAACAAAGACAGTAAAAGAAGAAGTATATATATATATATATATATTATATAATAAAATTATAATTTTAAGATTTTTTTTAAAAAAAAGATCTATAATACTCTACTTTATATTTAATAATATATATTAAGAAAATTCTTAGAATTTTTATTCTTATTATTAAATTTATTTAAGAAAAGTAGATATAGAAATTAAGTATTAAATTCTTAATAAATAATAAATAATAGTAAAATATTATTAAATATATTGTAGATTTAGTCAATCCTGTCAAACTAGGCTTGTCATTACCCGCTTATCAGCTCGGGATTCGCTCGGCCCGGCTTGCCAAGAGAACCCGCTTGAGAAAGTGAATAGACTTGATAAACAGATTTAAATTTTTTAGATCTGACTTAATTAAATTAATAAGTCTATCTTAGATTAAGTAAGCTAAATTTTATAAGCTTAAGTATTATTTCTTGACTTAATATATTTATATTATATAAATAAATTATATATAATTATAAAAATTTTAAAATTAATAAATCTATTTATTTTTTATATTTTATAAAAAAACTAACTTTAGATAAAAAATATAAATTATATAAAAAATACATATAATTAATTATAAATTAAATATATATAAAAATAAAATAATTTTTTTTTAATTATAATAAAAGTCTAAATAAATAGATCTTTATTATAATTATTTAGATTAATATAAAAAGACAGAGAGACTTAATCAAGATTTTAGTTATAATAAATTGAAAAAAATATAAAAAAATTAAAAAGTTAGATATCTTATAGATAAGATTTCTAATTTTTAATTAAATTTTTATATAATATAGCTGCGCAGGGATTAGAATTATTAAAAAATTTATAAAAGATTTATATAAAATTTTTCTAAGATTATATAATTCTGCTACTATTTTCTGACTTTTATCTAGTTTTTTTTATAAATAATTATATCTGTAAGAATTCTGTAAATTATATATTACATTAATATAATTATTTCATGAGGAACTGTTTTTATAGTATAAATATTTCTTATAATATAATATATTATAAAAATTATAAGAATTACTATTCTTATATAGCAGAAGTTTATTTATTTATAATATAAAGATTTTTTTTTATTTAAATCTAACTCTGAATAAATTTTAGAAATTTATTATAATTTATAATAAATTTATAACAGATCTTCGCGATAATATATATATATATATTATAAATTAAGTATTAATTATTTAATACATAATATAATACTTAACTAAAACTTTATTATCTGTAATTCTAAATAGTTTTTTTATAATAATATAATAAATAATCTATTTATTATTTTAAATATATAGTCATATTTATATTTATATATTATAATAAAATAGTATTAATAAAATATAAGAAACAATTTATTATTTTATTTAATTTATAATTATTTTTATAAAAAAACTAAATAATATATACTTTTCTGAATTATATTTAAATAATAAATAAATGAAATTATATAATAAAATAATTTATTATAGTTAATAAATTAATTATTTAAAAATTTAAATAAAAAAAAAGACTTTTATATAAATTATAATAATAAAATAAGAAAAGAAAAGTCTAGAGAAATTTTTTAAAGAATTTCATAAAATTTTTTATTATTAGTAGTATTAACTAATTAAATAATTCAAAAAAGCCAAACTTAATACTATTATTTACAAAATAATTATTAAGAATATAATTAAAATAAAAAAAAATTTATATAAGAAATATTATAATTAATTCTTTAAGATTAATTATAATATTTTATTATACAAATACTCTGAAATAAAATTCTTATTATTTAAATTATTTTTTATTTATAAATTAAAAAAATAATCTAAATAAAATAAATTAAAAATTTATATTAATTAAGATTATAATTCTTTATCTAAAAGATTTTAAAAAAAAATTTTGTAAAAAAATATTATTCTGTAATAAATCTTAAAAAAAATTAAAAATAAAATAAAAAGAACTCTATTTTAAATATAAAAATAATAAATATTCTATGAAAAATTATAAAAATAAATTAAATAAGATAATTATAATAAAGTCTATTAAAAATCTTAAATAATAAAAAATTAAAAAAAGAATAAATCTTAAAAAAAGTTATATATTAGAATATATTAATAATAAAAAGTATTATTGAATTAAAAATATTTTAAAAAAATATATCTAAAGAATTCTTTTTTTATAATATAAAAATTATTAAATTATAATATAAATATTATTAAATTATAATATAAATATTATTAAATTATAATATAAATATTATTAAATTATAATATAAATATTAATAGATAGCAGCTATCTAAGCTATAAAATAATTAATAAAATATTTATATAATAAAACAAGTTATTAATAATAAAAATTAATTTTTAGCGAATAAAAAGAGTTACTAAATAAATAAAATATCTAATATATATTATATAAATCTATTTAAATATAGATATATACTCAGAAAAAAAGATCTTTTTTCATTTTATTAAATAGACTTAAATATAATCTTATTTTAGAGATATTTTAAATAAAAAGACTTAATATATAACTAGAGCTAAAATAAAAATGATTATATTTTTATATAATAAAAACTAGAATTATATAATCTAATTTAAAAAGAAATTAAAAATAAATATTATTCAGATTTCTGTTATTATTATAGATATATTTATATAATAATATTAATATATAAAAATCAAGAATCTTAAAATATTTTCATTATAATAAATAATATTTAAAAAAGATTTAATTTAAAATTATTTATTAATTCTTAAATAAAACTATCTAGATATTATTATAATATTTTTTAATCTTTTAAATAAACTACTTTTTTATTATAAAAAAGATATAACTTATAAAATTAAGCTAATATGAAAAAATAGATAAGATTCTTAAATATTATAAGCTTTTTTATATAATATATTTTATAATAAATTATTAAATGAAAAGTTTATTAGAATTAATTATTTATTTATTATAATATTTATTTTTTTTATATAAAAATTAGAAAAAGAACTCTGCTTTGTATAAATTATTATATATTAAATATAATTATTTAAAAGAATTAATATTTTTAATTTTTAATTTATAAAATACTTAATTAGATTAGATAAGCTAAATAATTTATTAAAATTAGTATTTTTTTATTTTTTATTATATATAAATTATTAAGAACTAAGAATAGATAATAATGTTTTATATAAGATATAAATTATATAAATAATTAATAATTTATTTTAATCTTATTAATATTTTAAGTATTTTTTAGAAATTTATTAATTAAATTCTTAAAAAGTATCTAGATAAGTTCTGTGTACTTTATATAAATAATATATTTATTTATTTAAATAAATCTTTAAAAACAAATAAGAATATATATAAAACATCTTTATTAAATAAAATAAAATAAAACTATATCTAGATATTAAGAAATATAATTTTTTAAAAAAAAGAATTAAATATCATAAATTTATTATATAAATAAAAAGAAATCTAGATAAATTCAGTAAAAATTTAAATTATTTAAAAATAAAAATTCTTAATAATTATAAATATTATATAAGAATTTCTGAGCTTTATTAATTTTTATAAATAATTTATTAAAATCTTCTCAGAGATAGTATAGCTCTTAAATAAATTAATATAATAAAATATAATCTTTTAATAAATATTAGATTATTAAATAATTTTTAAAAATTAAAAAATATTTTTTTAATTTAATCATAATTTTATTTTATTCTGAATATATAATAATTATAGAAATAGATTTATCTAATTATAATATAAAAAAGGTTGTTTTATAATATAATAATAATAATATATTATAATCTTATATATACTTTTTAAAATAAAATATATTAATAAAATATAATTATCTAATTTATAATAAAAGACTATATACTGTTATATAAAATCTTAAATAATAAAATATCAAATTATAATTAGTATAAACTTTTTAAATAATAATTAATTTTAAAATCAAAATAAATTTTTTAAGAAAGCTGATTAAATAATATATATAATAATTTTTAATTTTAAGCTAATTTACTTTTAAATTAATTTATAGAAGTAGAAATAAGAATAAACAAATAAATATTTTATTATAATATAAGTAAGATATATTTATAAATAAGAATAATTATTTTTAAAGCTATATAATTTAATTCTTTTTTAATTAAATAAGTCAGTAAATATAGATGTGATTGTATTTATTTTAATAAAAATTATAAATAAATTAAAATAAATATTATATATTAATACAGAGAGCTGAAGAGAAGCTTATAATAATAATAAATTATATTAAAAAATAATTAAAACCCTAACTCAAAAATTAAAAAAAAGATTTATTATAATTAAATTTTAGAGTATTTATTATTAAATATATATTAATAAATAAAATATATATCTACTTCTAGAAAAAATATTTTAAATTTTAAATCTTTTTATAAAAATATTATTTAGTATACTTATCATTTAATACTAGTAGAATATCTTGATTATAAAAT